GAAAAGAGAGAGAGAAAGGGGAAATAGAAGACTATTGATTATTGTATAGGTAATATGTGGGAGTTAAAGGATCCCATTTAAGAATGATAGACCAGATAGTAAAAGGTTATGAAAATTGGGGATTAATACTTTTATAATAGTATAAAAAGTATTAACAAGGATTACCAATGGAAGAAAAATACAAACCTTTCTAAAATGCAAAGGAAATTTTTAAAAAAGGAAAAGGGACACACCAAATAGAGAAACAGGGTCAGTGTAATATACACAGTAATTATAATGTAGGATAATATGAAAGAATTGAGATCAGACATACCAGTTGTATCAATAAATATGAATAAGGTTAATTCTTCTGTTGAAAGAAAATATCCATCAATTCCTATTCTTTTTATTAGGAACGGATGTTGAATTTTGTTTTTCTGTTTTGTACCTCATTAATTCCTGGTTTTATCTTTATTGTTTCCTTCCTCCTGCTTTCTTTTGATATATTTTGTTCTTTTCCTAGATTTTTTTTTAGTGGGAATTTATTCATCTGTTTTATAAATGTTTGAGGCTATGAATTGAAGGCTATGAATTTTCTTCTGTCAGTATATTGAATATATCCAAAAGTTGTGATCTATAGTATTTTTATTATTATTTTTTAGAAGTTCTGTAATTTTGACATTTGTTTCACTTTTCACTCAAGTTAATAGAGGGTTTTAAAATTTCTAAATGGAAAGGTGTGAGATAATGGAATATATATGTATTAATCTCTGCCCTGGGTTCCTGGCACAGAACTCCTAAAACCCTTGTAATTTCCTAAGTGATAAGAGCACTAGGAGTGTCTTTTGTTCTAATATTTGGTCTTTGACCCTAATTCCTAACAGAGTTCCAGAATCCCTTGGAATTTCCAGTATCTTTTGTTCTGAGTTGACCCTTGGTGGGCTCTCAGATGGGGGCTGGTCACCAGAAAGACCAAGTCATGATTAGAAGCTTGGAATTTTCAGCCCTATTCCCATTCTCCAGAGTGGGGAGAGGGGCTGGAAATGCAGTTAATAAGTGGCCATCCCTATATGATAAAGACTTAATAAAAATCCCAGAGCTATGAAGTTCTGAGAGCTTCTGAGTTGGTGAACATGTGGAGGTACTGGGAGAAAGGCAGACTTAGAACATAGAAACTCCACGCCCCTTCTTCCCACACACCTTGCAGTATGTATCTCCTCCATGTTTATAATAAACTGGTAAACCTGTGTTTCCCTGAGTTATGTGAGCAATTACAGCAGGTAATTGAATCCAAGGGAAGGGTCATGGGAACCTCCGATTTATAACCAAGTACTTGCGATTAGCATGTGAAGTGGCAGGGCAGTCTTGTGGGACTGAGCCCTTAACCTGTGGAGTCTGCGCTAACTCTGGTTAGTGTCAGAATTGAATTGAATTGTCGGACGCCCAGCTGGTGTCATAGACAGTTGGTTAGTTGGAGAAAAACACACATATCTGGTGTCAGAAGTGTTGTGTGTGGTAGTAGTGTGAGTAAAGGAGAAACACAGGAATAGTGAGTTTTTCCTCAACAAAAGACTTCTGTTTTTTGTTATTAATATCTAGGTGTATTGTGGTCAGAGTATAATCTTTATAATGCTTTCTTTGTGGTCCATATTTATAAATGTTCCATGTACACTTGAGAGGAAGGCGTATTCTTTATTATCAGAATATAGTTTGATCTGTATCAATAAGATCAACCTCATTTTATGTTAATTAGGCTTTCTATACCTTATTTTTGTCTACTTGATCTGGTTCACACTGAGAGTGGTGTTTCTGCTTTATTAAGTTGCTTCCTTTATTAGTTGGTACATGGATATTAATAATATTTGCTGTGAATGTTTTTTGCATTAAAACATTTCTTGCTTTGTCACGTTTAATGCTTTGGGGCTTGAAATCTACCTTGTCACCAGGATGACAACCCTGGAATAGTATTGCTTTCAATTGCCTGGTGCACCTTTGCCCATCCCTTTGTTTTTACCTTCTTTGATTCACTTTGTTTTAGATGTCTCTCTAATATATAGAATGTATCCGTATCTTTTTCTTTTAATAAATGTTAAGCCCATTCACATTTATGATTATTATGTATAATTATTGTGTTATTATGTGTATTAGGTTTTATTTGTTCTTTTTTCTCAACAAGATATGCTTTCTTTGCTGGTGTATTTTAGTAATTTCTTTTGATATTTAGAAAAGGTTGTGTTTTTCTTTTATTGGTTATCTTTGTACTTATAACTTAAAAAATAATAATAGGGAACATTTGTTGGGCTTTTACAGTATACTAGGTACTATGCTAAGTGCCTTATACAGATTATCTCTTTTAATCCTTAAAACTGACCTATGAGGCAGTTACTGTTATTTTCCCCATGTTACAAATAAGAAAACTGATACACAGAGAGGTTAAGTAACTTGCGCAAGGTAGCTCAGCAAGTGGTAAAGCCAGGAAAGCCAGGGCTTGAATACAGGGAGTCTGACTCCAGAGCCCATGCTATTTTTTTGAAGAACTTTATTGTGGCATAATTGACATACAGTAAATTGCACATACTTTAAGTGTACAGTCCTTCCCACTACTCTGCACTGCCCTTCCCACCATCCCCAAGCAACCACTGATCACTGTATCTTTTTTCTGTAGCTGCTTTCAAGATGTGTGTGGTTTTTTGTTTTTATCATCTTTGGTTTTCAGCAGTTTATGGTGTGTCTGGTTAGACATGGTTTCCTTTTAATTTATCCTATTTGGGGTGCTAACTTTCTTGAATTCTATAAATTTATATTTTTAACCAAATTTTGGAGGTTTTAGCATTATTCAGATATTTTTTTCCTGCCCTTATCTCTTTACCCTCTCCTTCTGGGATTCCAATTACACATATATTAGATCTTTTGAAACTGTCCCAGAGGTTCTGTTCATTTTTTTTTTTTCCAGGCTTCTTTCTTTGTGTTCTTTAGATTGGATGATTTCTGTTGAGCTGTCTTTAGGTTCCTTGACTCTCTTCCCTGTCATCCCCTTTTTGCCATTGAGCTCACCCAGTGAATTTATTTCAAATATGGTATTTTTCAGTTCTAAAATTTTCATTTAGTTCTATTTTTGTTGCTATTTCTATTTTATAGTTTCTACTTCTCTGTTTATATTTCCTATGTTTTCATTTATTTCTAGTGTGTTTTTCTTTAACTTATAGAGCATTGTTATCATAGCTGTTTTGTCTGTCCGCTAGTTGAAACATCTGCTTCATTTTGGTGTTAGTATCTGTCAGGTTTTTTTCTTCGTAACAGGTCACATTACCTTGTTCTTTCAGTGTCAGGTAAGTTTGGATTGTATCCTGGACATTGGAATGTTACGATATGCAGACTCTGGGTTCTAGTATAGTCCTCTGGAGAATATTTGATAGGTTTGTTTTAGTAGGCATTCAACCCTTTTAGTTCAACTCTAAGTTCTGTCTCATATTCCATCAGCTCTGTGTCTCCTTCCATCAACCCAGTAGCTCAATTCTCAGTTCTCTAAGCATTTGCTCTACTTTTTGGGGCTATCTCACACATGTACAGTTTAGGAGTTAAGTGAAGACTTACGAGTGTTCCTACTCAGAAATGAGGAACCACCTTCTCCAGCTCTCTTCCCCTCAGGGTTTCTCCCACTCTCTCCAGTTTCCCTGGTTCCTTGGGCTAGAAAGGTAGTGGAGTTTCTGTTGGAGTTTTAGCTGCCTGTGTTGCTCCAAAACTGAGGCCCATCCTCAGTGCGAAGCCGTGAAAGGGAAAACAAAACAAGATAACACTGGAAACACCCTCATGTGGTTTGCTTTTCCAAATTTTGACCCCGCCCCCCCCAACAGTCTACCAGATTTTGTTTACTTTTCTCAATCCCCAGGTAGGGGTGTGTGTGTGTGTGTGTGTGTGTGTGTGTGTGTGTGTGTGTGTGTGTACACGCACCTGTGTGTATTTTATTTTGTAGTTGATAGTGATAGTGGAAGGATGGGCTGTCAGGGAATTACACCTCCCAATTTGTGTGGTTTTATTTCTTCTTCATGCTGGTTTGTATAGGTCTTGGGTTTTTTTGTGTGTGTGTGTGAGGAAGATAAGCCCTGAGCTAACATCTGTTGTCAATCCTCCTCTTTTTGTGGAGGAAGATTAGCACTGGGCTAACATCCATGCCCATCTTCCTCTACTTTATATGAGACGCCGCCACAGCATGGCTTGACAAGCGGTGCATCAGTGCTCACCCAGGATGCGAACCTGCAAACCCCCTGTCGCCACAGCGGAACGCGCGCACTTAACTGCTGCGCCACCAGGCCGGCCCCAGGTCTGTATAGTTTTTGATAGGTGTGTTGGGAGATTCTAATTTACACAGCCATTATTACCTGTGCTACTTTGGTGGTCAGTATTGAGTTTTTTCTCTGAATCTAGCCTAACACTTTTTTTTTTTAATTTTCTTGGCATATTGTATTGATTAGGTAAAAGAAATATGTTGTTTTTAGTTTTTAGTATTCAGCAGTTCTGCTGTCTACAATAAGGTTTGTTCTGAGAACTACATAATAAGAATTTTAGATAAATCAAAGACCTATATCATGGAAACATCTTGCTTGCATTCATTCTGTTATCTGTAATGTAGTTAGGTCAGGAAAATTTAAGAGGATAGTGAATTTGAAAGGGATTTACACCAGGTGGAGAAAAAAGTTAAAAATTTCAACATCTTCATAAAAAAATAAAGAATGTATTTTTTAAAGCGTTGTCTAGATAAAGACCATAAAGAGTTTTAATCCTAAAATAGCCACATGATTTTGATCCTCTGTGTTTTTATGTAGTTTATCAAGATTGTCATGAAATTTGTGTTAATTTTTTATACGTGTTTAAATGCAGTTGAAGACACTAATTTAGTTCTACCTTTTTTCTTTTTTATCTCTGGACTGTTTATATTTATTAATGACCCCAAACCTGATGTGTGGATGGTGATATTCAAACTGTAATGGTTCATAATGTTTAACATAATTTTTTCCATTTAGATGGCCTTCTGGTTGTTGGTGTTCACTCGGCTAAGTTTCCAAATGAAAAAGTCCTGGATAGCATTAAGAGTGCTGTTCTTCGATACAACATCACCCACCCTGTGGTTAATGATGCAGATGCCAGCCTCTGGCAAGAACTGGAAGTTTCCTGCTGGCCGACTCTCGTCATACTTGGACCCCGTGGAAACATGTTGTTTTCTTTGATTGGAGAGGGACACAAGGATAAATTATTTTTGTATACTTCAATAGCTTTAAAGTATTATAAAGACAGGGGACAGATCAGAGATAATAAAATTGGAATAAAACTCTATAAAGATTCTTTGCCACCTTCACCATTGTTATTTCCTGGCAAAGTAACAGTAGACCATGTTACTAATAGATTGGTGATAGCAGACACTGGACATCATAGAATTTTGGTTGTCTGGAAGAATGGAAAAATTCAGTACAGCATTGGAGGTAAAGTTTGCTTCTAATTATGATGTAAAATGTATTTTACAGTAAAAAAAAAAAATAGCTCAAGGAAATATACTAAAATGAAATTTATGACTAAGAACTAATTATAGAAGGGGAATATACGTTGACTTTTAACTTCATCATGAAGTTATTTTGTTACTTCATATATGATGTCTGAATTAATCTCTTCTCACTCCCTCAAAAAACAAACAAAAATACCTGAAAAGCTCCATTCAGATCAAAAGGAGGAAATTTTTTGTTATAATTTTTAAGTATATTTGTATATCCCATCTTGTTTTTTCAAAAAATTGCCACACTTATTATATCTTTTATATACATTTTGGATTTCAGGAGTTTTAAATGGAGGTATTATATTTCACTTTCCATCAGAATATACCCATATCTTTTTTAAGACCAGGACAGTACCCTAGGAACTTGAGTCTTAGATTAGAAAATAAATTTGACTTATGACTTTTCTCTCCTTCCATAAGAACTTAGGCATACTCTGGATCCATTCCCTTGGGGTGTAGGAAAAATACAAGTATTGTACAAGCATAGATCATTTTATTCCATATCTCCCTGGTCTTAGATCTAAAAAGGGATCTTATTGACAACTGCATAATTAATAAATTATGTTAAGTACATTCTTATTAATCCAGGTTGAATTGACATCTGACAACATATTAGAGAAAAGAAAGTCATCTCTGCAGTCCTGCCTTAGTAACACATGCAGCATTCACACGTAAAGTAGGGATATGTACGTTTGTAATGCACATAAATTAATCATATTCCTAAGCCCTAGTGCTTCTTAGTATGCCAAAGATATTATTCCCTTAGCTCTTGAATTTTTTATGTTTGTTATTTTTGTTAGAGTATGTGTGTGTGTGATGTTTTTTAAACCGAGAAACCCACAGAAGCTACCTTTCCCAAATATGTTTCTAGGAATGCTGTTATCTTGTGATAAATTAATAGTTATTTTACAATTTTTTAAAAAGAATTCTGTCGTCAGATACACTCAGGAAATACTGGTTAGATGTAGTTTAACAGATTTTTGTTAGTGGTGGTGTCACTGTAATTCTTAGATCTTTTACTCTGCTACTCTGCTAATGTGCCTCATGAATATCCAAGAGGGGTTATGGAGCACAATATTTTCTGATCTGAAGTGACCACAGTATTCTCCCTTTTTTTTTCATCCAGGGAAGTCTCGCCAACAACAATAATAGCATTAGTAATAATAGTAATAATAGCAACACTTACGTGTATGCCCAGCATTATTCTAAGCAGTTTACCTCTATTAATTTATTTAGTCCTCACAATGCTATAAGTTGGGTATATTATTAGTTCCATTTTACAGAAGAGAAACTGAGGCACAAAGAACTTGCCTACATCATCAGCTGGGAAGAGGTAGAGCTGGAATTTAAACCCAGCCTGTTGGGCCTTGAGTTCATGTTCTTAGCCACTACGTCATACTGCCTCGCTTACTGACATCTAGGACAGTGGAGTTCTTTGAAGCATAGTTTGGGAATGCTGACTTAAAGGCTTGAATTGCTTGTCCTATGGTCACAGAAATAATTATTTTTTATTATTCTTTGTACTCTCCACCCTTGAAACTCCACGTGTAATACAGAAGCTGAGAAGTAGGCCATTGGACCAGAATCACTCTTTGTCTCTCTTAAAGTGTGTATGAAATATAGAACTTAGTGGCAAAGTGAAATAGTAAATATGAAGGATTCTTAACCTGGGATTCATGGACTATTAAGAAATGCTTGAATGGCCCTCAGGATCTAAGAACCCCTTGAAATTGTTTGTGGCATTTTATGGGTGTGTGTATTTTTCTAAGTAAAGAGTTCATAATTTTCATTGTATTATCAAGGGAGTAGATCTTCCAAAATTGTTAAAAAGCGTTCATCTATATGCTAAAAGCTTAAAATTATTTTTAATTCTTTCTAGTCTAGGTAAAAGGCAATTAAGATGCTTTTAAAAGTGTTTTCTTCTGATATATGCTAGTGTACTTAAGTGCACTGGTAACCATTATCCAGTAAGCCCTGTCATTTGCAAAACTCACTCTTAAGGAAAACAGATATCTTGAGAAACATTTTAGTTTTTAGGTAAATACAAATTTTATTTTTTTGGTTTAACTTTGAGATAACTTTTTAAGTGGAAAATTTGTCTTATGGTTATCTTGTCTTTTAGGACCCAACCCTGGAAGAAAAGATGGAATATTTTCAGAGTCGACTTTTAATTCACCGCAGGGTGTAGCCATAATGAATAATATCATATACGTGGCAGATACAGAAAACCACCTTATAAGAAAGGTAATTTTCCTTTTTAAATAAGGTTTTAACACTTCTAACCAGAAAAACTGATATTTACTTGCTGCATTAAATATTTGAAGTGAGAGGATGATGCTTAAATACCTCGGAGCATTCTCACTCAGATTTTTCTAGAGGTACTTGCTTTAGTTTTACCCTTAAGTATCTTGTTTTTCTGTGTGTCAGCCTGTAGTTGTCACAGAGGACAAACCCATCAAGTCCTTTTTTTTAATCCTTTATTTCAAAGTCATGTTCCTAATCACCTGAAAGCTCCTCATTTTAAGGTATTTTCCTAAGCACTATTTACAAAGTGATGCTTTGCCCTTTTTCAGTTAAATTTTCTCAGACCTAGAAAAAAATCATACCACATCTGCCTCCCTTCAGCTCTTATACTTTGCCTGGAAATACTTACCAGTCAGTCTTAAAATTTGTTTTATCTCATTATAAAAGTAATATGTGATCTTGTTTTAAAAAATGGATTAAGACATAAAGGTAAAAACGTCCCCTGATCATCTGTCTGTTCCATTTCCCTAGCGATAACCAAACATTGTTAAAATTCGTGCCATTTCAGAAATTTCCTTCTCATATACAAATAAATTTATATTAAAAAGACTGTCTCTAGAGAATCTTTTTTAAAACAAGTGGAATCATACTGTATATACATAATCTTCTACAATCTTTTTTTATTTTTGCCATGTTAGTTACATGAATGATATGACTGAATAGTATTCCATTATAGAAGTACCTGGTTATTTTAAACATTCTTTATTGGTGAATATTTTGGCTATAATCCATTGGTCTTTAAGATGCCATCTATTTGGAAAATAAGTAACTAAGTTGATCTAACCCCTCCTGCCTAAACGTATTGTTTCAAATACTTCCTTGCTTTTCTTGAAGTTTCTCTTTGTATGCCGGTTTATTTGACAATATCATCACCTAATATACATAACAGGGAAAAGCATATATGGAACATATAACAATATCCACTGTAATGTAAATCTAATGACGGCATGAAATTGTTTTCTTTACTGCTGAAACCCTAAGCACCTAGAACAGTGCCTGGTCCACAGTGGGTATTCAATAGATGTTTATTCAATCAATTTGTGGACAAATGACATCTGTTTAATGCAGCATTTTCTAAAGAGTATATTCTTAACATGAAAAGGTGTTACATGAAAAAAGGATTTTGTGGATTTATAAATTAAAGATTTATTTTTTGAAAGTCTTAGAGACTTTCTTCTTGGAGCCTTTAATATGCTAATATATTGTGAATATATTAGTGGGGGGATATGTGTGTGGTATTTTTAAACTTATTTGACCAAGGAACCTTTTTAGGCAGAACTTTTCGTAGGACTAATGATTTCATGGTATATGCTTTGGGAAAAAGTGGTTTTCTGTTACTAAATCCTAAAGGTCAGTATTTCTTTATCCTTATCTTTTGGGGGTTATATGCTTCTATAATTCATCATGGTGTCATAGACATCTAACAGAATTAAAGTAGTGAGATATCTAGCCTGCAACATTCAGAAAGTACTTTTTTTTTTTTGGTGAGGACCATTAGCCCTGAGCTAACATCTGTTACCAGTCCTCCTCTTTTTGCTGAGGAAGATTGGCCCTGGGCTAACATCTGTGCCCATCTTCCTCTACTTTATATGTGGGATCCGGGCCTGCGAACTTCGGGTCACCAAAGCGGAGCGCGCGAACTGAACCACTACACCACCAGGCAGGCCCCCATATTTGTCTTGTTTTAATTGTATGTTATTTCTCTTGCCCTAGAATATAACAGGTTTTGAAGTATTGACTGCGTTTCAAATACTTTTTAAGTAGCATAATCACAACAAATTTAGGTTACCTGAAGTTATTTTTAAATTGTATGACAGTGTCTGCAAAAATAGGAAGTGAAGTGGAATTATTTCTTCCTCTTCTTTTAAAAATATTTATTGTGTTTTACTTTTGTTTAAAACCTTATTTACAGAGAGTTGATCATACTCCTACATTCACAGCTCACAAACATCACTGTTTCACGCAGACTTGTCTCTTGTTTAGAATAATTTATCAATTTATAAATTTTTCTTCACATTCCCCCTACAATCCCCTTACATAAACACACCTTCAGGCAGCCATTTTGATATGTTTAATTTATATATTTTTTATTTGTTTTTGACCTTGTAAAACATGTAGTGTTTCATGTGCATGCTTTTTGTTAATTGAGATATAATTGACATATAACGTTATATTAGTTTCAAGTGTACCACATAATGATTCGATATTTGTACATATTGGGAAATGATCACCGCAATAAGTCTAGTTAATATCCATCACCATACATAGTTACAGAAAAAATTTTTTTTACTTGTGATGAGGACTTTTAAGATCTACTCTCTTAGCAACTTTCAAATATGCAATACAGTATTATTAACTATAGTCACCATGCTATACATTATATCCCCATGACTTATTTTATAACTGGCAGTTTACACCTTTTGACTCCTTTTGTGCGTGTTTTTTAACAACTTTATTGTGATATATTTTACGTAGCATAAAGTTCATCCATTACAAGTATACAGAATTTTTAGTAAATTTAACCTGTTACACAAACATAACCATAAATTGTTTTTAGAAAATTTTCATTCCCCTAGTAAGAACCATCATGACCATTTACAGTTAACCCTCATTCCCACCCCTAGTCCTAATCTACTTTCTGTCTCTATAAATTTGCCTCTTTTCAACTCATATAAATAGAATCATATGATATATGGTGTCTTATGTCTGGCTTCTTTCATTCTGTGTAATGTTTTTGAGGCTTAGCTATGATGTAGCATATCAGTAGTTTATTACTTCGTGTTGCTGGGTAGCATTCCATTGGATTTACCACATTTTGTCTATCTGTTCACCAGTTGATGAACAGTAGGGTGTTTCTAATTTGGGGCTATTATGAAGAATTCACATATAAATTTCGTGTGGATATACATTTTCTTTTCTTGTGGGTAAATACCTAAGTACTAAAATGGTTGAGTCATATGTTTTGTATTTTACGTTTAACTTTTAGAGAAACTGCTAAACTGTTTTCAACAGTGGTTGCCCCGTTTTACATTTCCACCCGCATATATGTGGGTTCCAGTTTCTCCATATCTTCACCATTACTTATTTCCCTTTTTTTTTTTTCTAGTCATCCTGCTAGGTGTGAAGTAGCCTCTCATTGTGGTTTTGGTATGCGTTTCCCTAATGAGTAATGATGTCAAGCATCTTTTCCTATGCCTATTGACGACTTGTGTATCTTCCTTTGAGAGATGTCTATTCAGATTCTTTGCCTTTTTTTGGGGGGGGGGGTGGTGAGGAAGATTAGCTCTGAGCTAACATCCGTTGCCAATTCTCCTCTTTTTACTGAAGAAGATTGGCCCTGGGCTAACATCCGTGCCCATCTTCCTCTACTTTATACGTGGGATGCCTGCCACAGCATGGCTTGATAAGCGGTGCATAGGTCCATGCCCGGGATCCGAACCTGCAACCCCCGGGCCACCACAGCAGGGCACGCAAACTCAACCACTGTGCCACCAGACTGGCCCCTCTTTGCCATTTTTTAAATTGGGTTATTTGTGTTTTTTATTATTGAGCTGTAAGAGTTCTGTATATATTCTAGGTCCCTTATCAGATGTATGATTTTCAGATACCTTCTCACAATCTGTGGGTTGTCTTTCACTTTCTTAATCATGTCTTTTAATGCATAAAAGTTTTAAATTTGATGATTCCCAATTTATATTTTTTTCTTTTATTGCTTATGCTTTGGTGTCATATGTCAGTCTCCATTGCCAAATCCAAGGTCATGAAGATTTACTCCTATGTTTTCTTCTAAGCATTTTATAGTTAGGGCTCTCACAGTTAAGTCTGTGATCCATTTTGAGTTGATTTTTGTATATGGTGTAAGGTAGGAGTCTAACTTTATTCTTTCACATGTGGATACCCAGTTATCCCAGAACCACTATTTATTATTAAGAGACTATTCTTACACTAACAACGAAGTAGCAGAAAGAGAAATTCAGAATACCATCCCATTTACAATTGCAACAAAAAGAATAAAATACCTAGGAATAAACTTAACCAAAGAGGTGAAAGATCTGTACACCGAAAACTATAAAAC